GTTTTCGGCAACGGCAGTATGAGACCTTTGGGTGTTTTTCGTTCACAGTGCACGACAGCAAAATCCATTTTTTATTTTGGACCTATCTCTCCAATTGAATTGAAGCATTTGAATATTTTTTAAACGTGTTCATAGATTAAGTTTATTTTTTTTGTTTGTTTATCAACCTTTTTACGTTGGACACGTAATTTTGCGTCAACTAAAACACCTGACGTAAATTTACGTCTTCCACATTAATGTTAAACTATTTTTCAACATAAAAATATAAAATAATAGACATAAAATATTTTTTTTTGTACCGGTGAATTTTGATTAGATAACTAGCATAACAACAATACAACACCTATGATATTATATGTCCATTAAATCCTGATGCGTGATCATCACATTTTTTTAAATAACCAATAACAATACAAAACTGGTATTTAAAATTTGTTCATAAGTGATTAAGTAGGAGGGATTGCACTGAAAAGTAATGTGAAACGATTTTTTCATAATTTTCAGTAGGAGTATCTTTTCTCCGTTTGGAAGATGGGAATGATGGGTCATTTATTGACGATGATAGTATTGCAATTTCAATTGGAAAGTTGCATTGAGAAGATGCCATGAATCATGATTAGTTTCAGGTCACTGTTACCAAAGTGGCTCTTAAATATATGTAGAGTACTATTTCATTAATTGCTTTGACTCGATGCATGCATGTTTCCGTTTCTCGTGCTTTGAATAAAGTTAGAAAACACTGCTGGAGACTGGAGAGTGGATAGTGGAAGCATCAACCATTTCAATTCTTTTTTAACTGTTACTTCCTTCACTCCTTTTATTCTAAATATACGTAAATGTAAGAAGAAAAAAAACCTTTTGCACTAATTAAGAAAAGTTATTTACATATCTAATTTTGTTCATTTTATAAAAAAAAATTTATTTTCTTGAATTATTTTTCTTTAAAATTTGATATCAAAAATAAAAAATATTAAAAATATAATCTCAATTAAAAAAAGTATTTTTAAGATGACAACATCAAATGGAGCAAATTTAATTAAAATTTGTTTCTATTTAAGCGCAACAAATATGATATTATCTTCATTTTTTATAGATATATAACCTAATTATCTAATTCACCTAAATTAAAAAGTAGTTAATTTAATTGATAATAATAAATTTATCTTAATAATTTTTTTTTTCAAATTTACTTTTATAAGATTTTTTTTCTAATTAATATTCTTCTAATTAATTAAAGTGTATATCATATATTATCTCTTTCCTAATTAATATTCATCTTTCTTCTAGTAGAATGCATGTTTTTTAAATAATTTATAATTGATTTATTTTATCAAATTAAGATAACAAATTTTAATTAGAATATAATTAATTTATATGAGACTATAAATTATGTCATATATAAAAGAACAAATAATTGTTCTATATTTAGTCTTAATATCCAAATACCTAATTCATTAAGATTATAAAAATAGTTAACTTAATTCATAACAATAAATTTATTCTATTTTTATTTTTTTTCCAAAATTACCCATATATTATTTTTCACTTTTAATTAATACACTTCTTTTAATCAATTAGAGTGTATACTCTTTACTATTTCCCTCTCATAATCAATATTATTTACTCTTTTAATCAATTAAAATATATATTTTTTTAAAGAGTATATAATTAATGTATTCCGAAGTCAAATTTCTTTATAATATTATACTACAATTATGCATATCCTCCTATTTGTAGTATTTTTTTTCTTGCCCATACACATGACAGTGTTTCAAGTATATTATTAGCATCAGTTATTCAGTTATTAAAGGACCAATTAGAAGTTAAAAAAATAGGGGGGAAAAAAAGGAAATATATGACTGGTGGAAACATGCTTTATTACGGTTTGTTTGTCCTAAAAGAAAAGGCCTCACAAATAGAAACAAGTTACAACTGTATATGACGAATTATTGATAATCGAAATCCTACAAAATTTAAAGTGGGTTTTGGTAACATTACATTGTTATTTTTTACATTTTTCTTGGTACCTCTGAGTCTGAATCTATGGCTGTATGCTTCGCCGGCTTCTAACTAAGTGGCTTTTTGTGGCATTAACTAACATTGTAGTATCGTACCGACCTCATGCAAAGAAAAGTGGGAGTTCTTTTCTTGATTTTGGGACTGTTGGATAACTACACCCACTACTTCCACTAACGTGCCCCAACCCTCTTCAACATGACCCACCAATAAGAACACCGTGCACTCTATGTCCATCCATTCAATTTAGTTTAAAATTTTCAAAAAAGAAAAATGCCAATTTCAATTCTTAATACATTCTTTATTTTTATAGTTTATATTAGAGAATTTGTGGTTAACACCACATAAAAAAAAGGTTTTGTAGTTTCAACTCATCCATATTTAACAACCAATAGATGCTTTTCAAATTTTAATTAAAGGGGGAAAATTCATAAACTTGTCAAAAAAAAAACCCGTACATCTATCATAAAAGAACTGTTTCAGTCTTTATAATTCAAAAATATAATTTAATGATTAAAATTAAAATTATAATTTATTAAAAAATACACACAAGTGTGGGGAAAAAAGGAACCAATTTATTTAATTTAGTTCAAGTTCAATTCATCACGTTGACGCAATCCAATAAACAACTCTAACTTTAAGCAATATTGTTAGGTTTTTGTATGGGGGTTGTTACAAGTGCATGTAAGGTGATATGTTAGAGCTAACTGTTAATTGGGTTAAGAAAAGATGCATTCTTTAAGAAGAAAATAATTACCCAGCCTATTTAACTACTTTGAGTTTATTTGTTTTAAATTTTGACAAAATTATTGATAAAAATAATTGATAATAGATAATTTAAAATTTTAATGTTGAAATTTGATTTTAAAAGAATGTGTTAAAAAAAATTATTAAATGGTGAAATAAACTACGATTGAAACACAAATATAAATTATAGGTCTCACACTCAATGAAATCCTTTAATATAAGCTATCTAGAATGTGATAAAAGGCTATTTAGTTTGCATAAATCTTAAGCTAAAATATCGTTACTATTATCTATTATTACTATTATCTACTAATGAGTCGTAACACTCGATACTTCTATATTTGTTTAAAGGTGTTTTAAGATTATCAATATTTGTTAAAGGTGTCGTATCTAATTTTCAAATCTCAAGATCTTGTAAAAATTGTTAATTTTTAATATTATTTTTTATTATTTAAAAATATAGGGATAAAACAGTTTAAAAATTATACACACGAAAATAGATAATTACATTTTTTATATAAGTATAGATGTATAAAAAAAATAAAAAAAACATCGGAACTTTCGTGGTAGCCAAACAGGCTATCGATCTAACACGAGTATATGGACTGATCTTGATCTTGATCTTGAAAACAAGTGTTTATTTTTTTACTCCTAAAAGGGTCGTTCTAGATTGGGCCCTGGTTTTCTCACCCTCCTTTTTTCTCTTCTCACCTTCCTCCTATCTTTTAATTTAACCCTTTTATCTTCCCTCCATCCCAACTCTTTTCTTCCTCTGCCAACTCTATTTTAATCCACCTGCATTGTGCCCTTTCCTTTCATTTTCGCCCTGCTTCTCGTCAATTTAAGGAAACTAATTTTCATTTTGTATAAAAAGAGTACAACGAAATTTAAAGAAATGAAAATGTACTTTTGTCAAGGGTATTTTATAAAATAATAAAAAAAAGTTGAGTAAGAAGATAAAACGGGTTTGTGAAAATCAAACCCTTCTAAATTTTAGGAGGAAAACAAAGGATGCGAGATAATAATAAAAAAAAATCTAGTCTGTAAAAATAAAAATTCATTTTTTTTCTTCTAATAATTGGAATAGTATTCCGAATTCAATAAATTGATACAGAATCTCAGGAAAACCAATTATATGGCGAGGAAAAAATTCGAGAAAAGATGTGTCAAAGTGGTCTTAGTAAAGGAAAAAATCAATAGAAAAATGGAAAAATGACAAAAGTTTAAGTGTGGATTAATATTTGCGCACCTCTAAACTTGGTTCGGAGAGTATAAACTAAATTTCACCCACAAATAACATGTTTAGTAATATCATGGTTGAATTGTTTTGGAACATGGTTTTGGGTCTTGATCCATGGTTTGAATAGAAGTGAAAAGTTACTATTCCATTGGACCACACCATGGTTTGCCAACTATAACAGTGAGTGTTTGGATGATGAAAGATTTTGAGAAGACAGAAGTGTAATAGAAAGAAGAGATAAAAGAAAAGAAGTATAAAATAGATAGGTTTTAAAGTTAGGGAATTGCTATAGTACCCATGAAAATTAAAAGGTTTTGGTATTGTAAATTATGTGAAAAAATATTTTTTAAAAAATAAATTTAAAATAATATAAATTTTAGATTAAAAATTTATATAAAATGAATCAATAAAAAGGCTAATTAAAAAATAATAATTAAAAGGTCAATTTTCATTATAAATTTTATTTATATGTGATAGAATTAAAAAATTAAAAA